TTGGTTGGTTGGTTGGTTGGTTGGTTGGTTGGTTGGTAAAGAAGCCAAGGAGAAATGTCACTCATAAGACTGCAGACTACATAGATCATAATGATCAGCATTCACTTGGATCCATCAGCCTATGGGAAGCCAAAAACAAACTAACCAAAGGCATGAGGAAGCCTGGGTCCAAATGGATGCCTCCAAGTCATCCCATGGCCAGTCCTACACATGCACCTACCCACGGGCTACCCACTACCCACCGGACACGTGAGGAGGAAAGCGTCAAAAGAATCCAAAGTCCCCTTGTCTCCCTGAGTGGCACGAGTGTGTAAATGGTCTTCTCCACGCGGTTTAAAACCAGCCAGAACTGGCATTGCCTTATTTAACACCCATGACTCATGATCTACATAGATCCACATCGCTGGCTATCTTGAGGTGCTGTGAGATCCCTCATGTCATAATGTCTGTGTGTAAGTTCTAAGTTCCAATTCCTTGAAAAAAGCATGGATAGCATGGATCATTGGTCTTTTCATCTGTCTTCCATGAAGAAACATAGCTGGCTGGAGATCTTCCATCTTCCACCTCCAGCATACCGGGGCCAAGCCCGTTCAGAACCGACCATCCAGGCCTTCCGAGGCACGGAGGGCACGGAGGGCACGGAGGGCACCGTCACCGGCTGCGCGGGCCTCTGTGGGCCCTCAGAGCTGTCCTGGGAGATCGGGATCGCCACCGAAGGTCAAAATTCACTGGATGTCCGTTGCTAGATGTTAGTAGTATCAGGATCGAAGTATTTCTACTGTAAGTGCACTCGGGAAGATTAACATGGAACCTGAAAACCACTGGGTTGTAGAGGAGTGTACAGTAATAAATAGGTCAGACATTGGTATCAGAATTTAAAAGTAGGGTTTGGACCCACAGTTGGAGGGATTTTCATGGAGATCTTGATCTGCTCAACTGCGTAACCGTGAAGCGTTGTAGGAGATGTATGACCCATTTTCTTCACACTGAGATGATATGTCTGACTACTACCACACCTTTTTGGACTGGATTTTGCCATCAACCGCATCTCAGATTCTTCCTTCACAACGATTCCGAGTAGGTGGACTATTGGATGATTCAAGCGGGTCACCGAATCTCCAGTGGGCTTTAAATGGACCTTCATCATGTCAGTCCCCTCTTCGTTCCCAGTGTCTGCGACTGAAATCACCACCGTCAATGCGTAAGCCTGCGAACCGTCTTGTCGTAAATCATCCAGATACACCTCCCTAAAATGATCATGGAAGTGGAAAGCCGCCTGTTTGGCATTCGGAAAATTGTCATTCAAGGGGCCTATGTCCCACTTCCATTATTATTTCAGGGATTGTACAGGCTTGCTCTTGGTATCTGGATGTCTGTGCAGGTCTTCAGCGTGCCAATGACCTTCTTGCGTGTTCAAAAGCAGGTGTGCGGTTGGACGGCCAACGCTGTCTCTTAAAGAGCGCTTGAGCTCTTGGATCTGGTGGAGGAACCATGAACAACATAATGTGCCGTGACCAAATCTTTGTGCAGGAGGAATCTGCCAGTCGTCCGTGTTCGTGTTCACAAAGGCATTGAACCCATCCAGTTCACCTCCACCAAGCAGTCGGTGAATTGGTGACCTAGTGGATGTGTTGCAAGCCTTGTGGTCAACCCTAAACTGCACCAAAATCAGCATCTGCAAGACTCCCCCCCCCAAACCATGTTCCTTCCTCCCAGACGCCCCCAAGCTCCCAACCGCCTTCTCGGCGAAGGCCTGCGCCGCCACCTGCGCGATCGCCTCCTCGAGGCGCGTGGTGTCACAGCTGCTGTAGCTGAGATTCCTCGCGGAGGCCGCGTGCGGGAGCGTCCGGGAGCGTCCGGGAGCGTCCGGGTGGGTGCCCCCCTCACCCGGACCACCCGAAGTGGTGTGCCAAACCCAGGATGCAGGATGCAGAGGTGGTAGCAAGGCTTGCTTTGCACCGCTTCAAAATGATATACCGCGATATACCTCCGTCTATCACTTGACTGTGCGACTGCCCCTGTGCCGCTCTAGTCGGCCAAGACCTTTCTATATGAAAGAAAAAACCTCTTGAAACATGTAGACACTGCCCAACTGTGGGTCCAACGGATGTTTGGAAAAAAAACAAAAAGAAACCAACGTCTCCCACGTACCTGGCCTGGGTCGCAACGGCGTGAACGAAAAGAGGCTGTTTTCGCCCGCTGGAGCCGCGCGCTGCTCCTCCCGAGGAAAACATTGGTCGTGTCTCCGGAGGTGTCGTCACCAAAATACGACGTTTTGCTGGGAGGAGCCCAAGGAGGTGGAGAACTGTTTTTGGCCCATTTTTTCGGAAAAATGGTCATCGAACAGTGGAGAGACGAGTTGGGTGGATGATGGTGGATGACGACATGCCTGTGGGTCATGCTCAGTTCGTTGCAAGACTCTCCTTCCTAAACCGAACTCGTGCATGCCCGCGCACACGAACTCGTGCCCCGAACACCAAAAAGTGCCTCGGCTTTGAATGGCCTCCTTTTTTGAGAGATGAGAAACTGCGAATTGGTGCAACCTTCAACCTTTTGCAGATGGTAGATTCGTCAACTGTCTCAACATGCAAATGCTACTATACTCCTAGCAGCCCTAGCAGTTGCCCGGTCGTCCAGAACAGCATCTAAGAACCTGGAGAAACCGGATCCATTCTCCGAAACACATAGAGTCCTGAAGAGAATTCCTCATTTGGACACCACGCTTTTCTGTAGATAGGGCCAAAGAACACCCAACGGAGCCCCCAGCCACCTTCTCAGGCACGCGCGGCGGGCTGCCCAGCACCAAACTATCGCGGCCCAAGGTGGTCACCGCGTGTTGCAAGCGAGGGTCCTCCTGACTCTGCAAGAAAAACAGCCATGAAGCAGCTCATCTCGCCGATGTCGTTTCCAGAAGAAAGTCGAACATCGCACGCCATTCGAACCAACCCATTCGAACCGAACTCACGGTCTACTGACGAAGCCGTCGACCCCGCAGGACCTGTCGGATGCCATAGAAGGTGAGGAAGCTGTTGAACGTCTTCGCCTCCTCAGGACGTCGGATCACTGGAACCGATCGGCTCGAAGTCGCTGATCGGTGGGGTGCCGATCGGCCTCCAGGGCTTTGTCCAAAAATCCTGTCACATCACAGGAGAGTCTAGGAACATGAATGGGTTTGTTGAGAGCAGTTTCATGTAGAGTGCAAAACCATGTATCAAACCTTTCCAAATTCTTTATATTCAATCGACCGTCGACATTCGCTTAAAGATCTACACTGGACACTTGGACTCCAGGGAGAGGGTTCCTGCTTCAAACTTCCACAGAAGGCGACGCGGGTTCAACTTGGGTTTCATGCAAGCTTTGTCAAAGAACACGGCAAACAGCTTCATCCAATGGCTGCTTGGAAGAATGGATCGTCCCAATGGTTGCCACCAAGTGCTGAAACACACCCTGGTAAGAAGCCACGAAGAACTGGACTGATTAAATCCTAAATCCAGAAATCCAGAAATCCGAACTGAACCTCATCAATGAGCAAGGGAGGTAGGGGCCCAAAGTTGATCCTGAACAGGGGCAGGAAGAACCACCTGGGATATGACACGTCTTCAGTGGTACCATAAAACCCACACGAGCAAGCATCTTTCCGCCCTCACTCTGCGGCTACTAGATGAGCTTGCGTTGCAAGTCTATGATCGTCCACCACAGCACCTCGCATAATCAAAGCTCCGACATCTTCTCTGAGACAACTCGACTGCCCCTGCCTCCCCGTGCATTGCCCCAGGTCACCACGGACCCATCCGCCAAAACGGCAGAAAAGGAAACCAAAGACGCTTGAACTTGCTGGACATTCTTCAGTTGATCTTGCACAGCGCTGCTGTCACCACCATGTTCTGGATCGCCCCAGGTCACCACAGACCCAGTAGCCAAAATGGCCACGAAGGCACTGGCAGATGCTTGAATTTGCTGCACATTTCTCAGCTGATCTTGGACAACACTGCTGTCACCACCACAATCAGGATCGCCCCAGGCCACGACAGACCCATCAGCCAAAACGGCAGAGAAGGCGCTATGAGAAGCTTGAACTTGCTGGATGCCTCTCAGCTGATCTTGGACCACACTGCTGTCACCGCCAGCTTCTGGATCGCCCCAGGTCACCGCACGGCCATCTGCCAAGATGGCAGTGAAGGCACCGGCGGATGCTTGAACTTGCTGCACATTCCTCAGTTGCTCCTTCACAGCACTGCTGTCACCACCCTCGTCTGGATTGCCCCAGGTCACCGCAGACCCATCAGCCAAAATGGCAGCGAACGCACCGGCAGATGCTTGAATTTATATATATATGGAGTTGTAGGTGCTGTAGCCCTTGAGTTGCTATCAGCACGCAAAGTCCTTAGCTGCGCATCAACGCTCCTCCCCGTGGCGAAGACGCCACACGGCTTCCTGCACCTTAGTGAGATGATCCATGACAGCCGAATCTGCCGGGCCAGAGGCCCAACCAAACCTAGCGGTGAGGGGGTTACGGGGCTTAGAAGGCCTACAGTCGCGAAAATGCTCACAATGCCACACCAAGTGGATCCAAGACGGTCTGAGTCTACCCTGACAGAAGGGGCAATCCTGCAAAGCGGGGTCATACAAAGCCGGGGACACAGAGGCCCCCAGAGCAACATGCCTAAAGGTAGAGTCCGTATCCATACGCTTACGTGTGAAGCCAATATCGACACAGCGAAAAAACTGTTCCAAGTTTTCTTTTGAATGATCTTGCAAAAGCTGCGTGACCTCATGTCTTTGACAGCGAAGCCACTGAACGAAAGCGTGCCACCGAAACTGCATTCTCAATTCATGCCTTTGAGCAGAGAGACCCTGTGTTCGACGGTCAGAAGACCGAAAAAGTTGCACCTCGACACCACTGTAACAACGCCACGTCCAAGGGCGCACCTCACTGCAACCAATCCCTTTCAATTGCCTGCGAAGCACACCAACAGGCGAAGCGTAAGAGTTGCACCAAGGTAAGTCAAGCTTGCTTAGTGTACCCCACAGCCGTTGGATCACCGCACTCACCAAATGAAGCGATCCACCGAAAAAGAGCATGAGAAGCCATTTACTAGCCATTCGGGTCTTGCCACCAACAACACGCCTGAAAGATTTCAAGAGGCGATCACCGGACGTGAGGGTGGGAGACCTACAGACCCAACCATAAGCCCCAATGCTCAAGACGAAGCATCTAAAAGCTTCCACAGCCCTAGTCCAAGGCAGAGACGCACCAACCAACAGCGAAGCAGCCTTCTCAGCCTTGTCCAATCTCTCCTGCTCACCAATCGTATATTTACGAACTTTGGACGTGGTAGAGACCCCAAGGGCTTTGACTTCAGAAACCTTCCACTCAGGCGGGCAAGGGTCATTGTCAAAAGAGCGCCGCGCACAAACCTGAGTCTTGCGATTGTTCTCCTTTAAACCGATAGAGTCGGACCACCGAGCCCATTCCTGGACGCGAGGACCAACTTCATGCCAATCTTTAGCCCACCAAGTTCTGTCATCCATGTAAATGGAAGTACAGCTACGCTCAGCATCATGACCAAGGTTAGACTCAACCTTCCGTAGGCCAGCGGTAGCCACAAAACCTAAGATAGTCGGGGCGATCGGACAGCCTTGCGGAACAGCGCGCCCAGAAGGGAGCGGAGTAGGGCTGGTGTGAGCCCCCCACTGAACCCACCTAACCTGATTCGCCCAAACAGCCTGAAGCAGCGTAGCGAAACGAGGATCCCAACCACAGTCAGTAAGCGCCTGACAACAGATTACCGGAGACAAGCGGTCATAAGCCGCAGACCAGTCCAGGGAAACAATGTAGCCATCCTGATCAGCGTACAGCGCCTGTAAGCGGGCGATCAAAGCTTCAGTGGTCAAACCCGCCTTTCTGCAAGCGACCCTCTCGTCAAGAGACTGGCTCACCCAATCTTGAACATCCTCGGTCTGAAGCAGAGCAGCGGCAAAGGCACGCCAAAAAACCGACAACACGGAAATAGGGCGAGTAGCAGCAGGATCAAGAGACCCATCACCAGACACCTTACCTTCCTTGGCCAGGTTGACCATTCTGCTCTCAGTGAGTTGCATGGGCACCGACCCAGACCTAAGCCACCTCTGAGTCAGCGTCCACCAAACTTGCACTGCATCAAAAGGCAGATGCTTAACCTCAGCGCTGTGCCATTGGTCAGGCCCGGCAGAACCCTTGCAATGCAGCAGCGCGCGATGAAGATCAGAGGCCGACGGCCCAACCCAATGACCCGCAGGGCGGAACCCAAAGTCAGAAGCCAGCTGACGACTAAGCGCAGGATTCGCAAGCCTACCCTCGCTCCAAACACTCTCCCAATGTTCGCGGATGAATCGCGCCGACTGCTCATGCGTTTCAGCTTCAACACCCTGCTGAACGAGCGTGACCTTGCGACAGACCATTTGTTTGCCCTTAATCCATTTGCCTAAGGCGCCAAAGGTACCCTCAGACAGAGAAGCCTTCCATTCACGCAAGCGACGGTCACGCAGCTGGGCTTCCATCCTAGACTGCGACCTTTGAAGCTCCGAAATTTCGGTCTGAGCCATCGCAAGAATGTCCTGGGCAGAGGTCGGAACTGCCGACCCTTTCCAAAGCTTGTGAAACAAAGTAAGTGGAACATACCCCCTACGGCAAATAAACTGCCGAAGCTCATGAAGTCTCGCCAGGCGACGCCTGGCCCGCCGTAAAGACTCACCAGCCAAAGGATCTCCAGCGCCGCGAAGGACGGGTCGAACCCATTGGTGTTTGGCCAACTGACCCTTCTGAGCGACCCCCCCCTTGCTGAGAAAGACGATCTAAGGCATTGACACCATCTTCGTCACTGACAGATCTTTTGAGAGATTGGATAGCGAACTCAAAACAGTTCGTCAGAAGACGGACAAAGAGATCCCATTCAGCTTGAACATGCTCCTGATTGTCCCCTTGCTCGCCAACATGCATAAGCTGTTGCAAATCATGACCATCGCACGCCCAAACCTGGCGCCAAGCCTGCTCAAGCGCTTTCCTCCAAAGATCAAGCGGAACGCCGACAGGCTTGAACCACTTAGGAGCCGGCTTAAGACGACCAATCCAATTGTCCTGAAAGGACAAGTCGGCGCCAATCCAAAAACCTTTGTGGTCAGAAAACTTAATCTCCGTATTGAAGCCAAGATGCCGAAAATGCTCGCGAGAGGAGCGACAGAAGCACCAATCAACACATCTATTCCCTTCCCATCTGGAAGGCTCTAAGCAATCACCACACAGGGCACCACCTCTTTGAGAGAGGAAGCGCCCCAACACACCGTCACTAGCCAACTGATTAGCATCGCCAGCGAGGACCCAACTTTGAAGATCCAAGGCCAGGGAGCCCCAAAGACTTCCGAGAGCTTCCACACCAACTTCCGCATGCTCCGGAGGAGTGTAAAAGTTGACCCAAACAGACCGACTGACCCAAAGAGCCAAAAACTGCGTACCTTTGTGCGAAACAGAAGCAGCCAACCTATGGTTAATAGACTTATGAACCAAAGTGGCAACACCGCCCCTAGGAATCCCGTTGCTGCGAAAGCCACCTGACACATGATACGCGTAGTAGCCATCACGGAAAGCCACGCGCGCAAAAGCGTCCCACTCACTCACACTCATGGCAACCTCTTGGAGAAAAACCACGTGCGCGCGCAAGAAGCCTTCATTTCGGAGACGCCAAGCGCCAGGGGCGCCACCGCAATTCAGAACAAAAAGGTTAGGGCCAGGGGCCCTAGCCTCACCAACTCTGCAAGCCCGCAGACCATGGAGACGAAGACGATCCGGCAAAGGAGCCGCCTCAACCCGGTCCATGGTCTGCCCACGCCATCACTCATGTTCTCCCTCACAAGCCTTCTTCGGCGGAAACTTATCAGCCTGGAGAAGGTCATCGATTTCCTGCTTTGTTCTTCCACTCAAGTCCAGGAAAGAAGCAAAATGACGAGGAAACTTGGTCTGGAGTTTAAACCACCATCTTCTCTTATTGTTACGCACGGAATTATTCTTCTTGAGATCCTGAAGGGCCTTGCGGCAAGTCTTCTGACCGGCGTCCCTAGCATGGTCCCGGATACGACACAAGCATCTCTTACAGTACCGCAGGAACTCACCCCTGTCAGATTTATACCTCTTAGCATCTTCCTCATGAAATCGTGGAACCTCAATAATGTCATGGGTTTTGAAGAATTTCTTGCGGCTCTCATCATGAGCCCGCTTGACCGCCTTAGAGGTAGCAGGCTTAGGTCGACCTATCAACAACCGGTGCGAGAGAGTGGTAGGGGTTTCACCCGGGTGTTCCTTGCAATGCGCCTTGATGGCCCTGAGCCTATCGTTGTTGGGCAACACCGGCAAACCAACAGAACAAATAGGACACGACCAACCACGCTGAGCAGCAGGTAAGTCATGGCTCGTAGCGAAAGTAGTGGCTTTCTGCCTCTTCACCAGGTTCCTATTGAACGTGGGGTGCCTAGATTTCAAATGCCCATCCTTAAGTGAAGCGAGGCGGTTGCTAGCCGCAGCGGAAAAGGTCTGCTGACAGACAGGGCACACCCAAGTAAAATCCTGGGCTTTCTTATTGCTAGCCGCAGCGTCTTCCAAGCCGTCAAAATCAGCCATATTAGCAACGTCGGTGGCTCTGGAAGCAAGTTTCTCTTTGCTGACAGCAACCGACACAGCACGCGTGCGTCGAGCACTAGTCCGTGACGCGCCTGCCGGAGCAACCCAACTAGAAGCCGCATCAGTATCAGAGACAGGCTTGACCCAATCAGAGGAAACAGAGGAACGCTTGCCGGCGGCGCGTCCAGTCCATCCTCTTTCTTGACCAGTGACCACTCCCCACTCTGGAGGGAATCCTCCTTTGGGGCGCGCCAAAGTGTAAAAATGCTCCTTGTGAAGCAACAAGGGAATGATTTGTTTTCCACCCCCCTCGTTCAAGACAGCAGTCCTTCTCCATTTCTTACCTCTAATTTCCCAAATGCAGAGAACAACATGGAGATACGAAGCAGCCAAAGCCAACGTCGTGCCATCATGCCAACGTTTGGGCCGAGACAAAGCAAGCTTATATTCATCAAGCGACGAAGGAACCGTTCCAGCTTCCTTCTCAACCGTCGCAAGAGGGTCCGGTTGCCAAGTACTTTGCCAATCCACTGACTTGTTCAACATGAAGTCGATGACCTTACCTCGAAGAGTCTTACCAAGAGCAACGGCTTTGCCAACGATTTTATCGACCGGCTTCCCATTAATTTGGGCTTGCGCAGCGGCTAATGCCCGCCACCCGCAATCCCCACAGCCCCCGAAGTCAAGAATTTCGAAATCCTCGAAAGGTAAAAGATTGTCGTCGTGGCCAGAACTTTTTGGCTTCTTTTTGGGGGGAGAGGACCCCACCGTAGCAGAACTTCTCTTCTCACCTTCCCCAAAAGTCGAAGAATCCGTCTCCATCTTAGCAGTTTCGTTTTGGGGTGGAGTCAAAGCTTTGGGGGAACCAACATCTTCCATATCCTCAGGGACAGGGATATTCACAGGGTCAGGGTTAGTTTTCGCAACGTGAGAAGGAACCCAACCAGAGGATTGCTTCAAAGGTCGATCACCGCCATCTTTAGGGTCCTACGCCACCGCTTGATGGTGATGGAAAGAGTTTGCTCATCTCCGTCAGGGACCTCATAAACATGCACAGCCTCCCGGTCAAGCGTGGGGTGACTGGCTCCAATGAGCCAACCCTGCTTTTTTGTTCGAGGAGGCGAGATATTGTCCTTAAGCACCCACCCATTGCCTTCCAGGAAATCTTTCACATCCTGCGGGCAAAAGAAACTGGGGAAGCCAGTCACAACAAAGGAAGCAAAAGCCTGGGAGTCAACTTTACCACGGAGACCGAAACAACTGCCTCCTCCTCTGCGAAAGGTCAAAGGCACCTTCGCATCAACCGCCTGTCCACGTGATCGCTCAAAATAAGCAAGAATGCCCTCATTTTTAGCCTTACGCACCCAAGTGACAGGTGGTCTGTCACCCAAAGCACCCGACAAGGCTTCAAAAAACAACCCATTCGTTCCACTGAGTTGCAGAAGCTCAGTGGCAAGATCTTCTTTCACTTTCAGAAATCCAACGATGGCGGAAGGTTCCCCATCACCAGAAACAACTTTCCACCCGTAGGACCAAGCACTTCGTCCCTGGAGGACTTCTGCCAGACCCTTATGAGGCTGTCTGACTAACCGCTGCCATTCCCGATCTTCTTCGAAGATACGGACAAAGGTGACCCGTAAAGCGCGCGTTTCGGCCGGCGAACGAACGGGAGTCGAGAGTTTATGAACAAGCACCTTGGACTGCTTAGGTTCAAAAGTGGTCTTCGGGTTAAGAGGGGCAACAAAAGCTTTCTTTAACCCTCGCTTGTCAAAGTCGTACTGCCTCTCAACAGCCTTGTCAGGGAGCGCTTCCTTTTCAACCGAGTCAGTGAGAACAAGAGTAACTTGACCCTTAGTCTCATGTTCAGAAGCTAATCTTTGAAGAAGTTTAGCGTCAGAAGCCTTAGTGAAACAAACTTTCCCAGTAGGTTCTTCCCCTTGCTCTAACTGCTTCAGCAGAGTGCCAGAAGGAACAAACTCCTGAGGAGCCCACAGAAACGCAGCATTCTGGGGTCTATCCAACGTTTTGCGAGAAAGAAGTCTTCTTAGAGCCCAAAACACTAGTACCTTTCCCTTCTTTATGTTCAGAGGTTCTGGGGGGTTGAGTGGTGACCCTCCTAACACCTTTTCCTTTCCCAATCTCATTAGTGGAGTCCAAAGGGACATGTTCGGGTGAGACAGAGGAATTAGACTTGCGAGGACCGACCTGGCCAGTATAAAAAGATTGTTTCAGACCCTCACCATGTCCGTCAGCGAAGCTAGACGAAGCCGCTTCATTCAAAACCGTTCCCAAGGCAGCAAGCAGCTCTTGGAACCGAAGTTTTTGGTCAAGAACGTGTCGCACTTTGCCACACAGTGAAGATGTTTTAGCCTCCTCCGTGACATCATACCCACACGGAGTTTCAGGTTGCTGGGGGGAAAACTTTTGAATGAGGGCGGAAAGCTCCTCCAAAAACAAGACCTCCTTACGTTTGCGGCGCGTGGCAGCAGCACCACCCGCACCGCCTCTCAACTGGTAACCCAGGCACCACTGCTGCCTTTGAACAAACTGAAGTTTGTCAAAAATCCGCTGTCCGAATCTTTGCAAAGGAAAAGGGGATGCACCAAGGCCAGATCTGCGAAGACGAAAACGACTCGACCACCCGTAGCGAGGACCGCAAACACGTCTGCGGCCTACCCAACGAGCGGGCCGGGGGCCCTGGCGATTCCGCTCACTTTGTCGTAAGAAACCTCTAAACTTCCCTCGAACTTTCCGGAGGAACCCAAACAGCTTAAAACTGACAAAGAGGCACC